CAAGATGAGATGATTGTTCCCACACCATGCCACAAAGCGGTCCACCAGCTCTCTGTAATAACGTCAGGTATCAGAGTTTTTCTTTTCTTCCGGAGTGTAGACTCCAGAAAGAAGTGTACCACAGCAGGAAGAGTTTCCCAGGAGCTCGGCGTGGTGTTCCTCAGGCTATAAAAGGTGTGTGTGAAATTGAACGCTGAACAACCATGGGACCGTGCATCGGCCATCGGCTGCCAATCGACCATACTGAGCGCTTTACTTGCCGGCTCTTGAAAAGGTGGGCTGGTTTAGTGCTGATTGACAGCTTCAGGGACCCCCGGTTGTGGGTTTCTTAAGTCAAACAAATAGCTGGACTCTTTTCAAATTTTAACTTTTGAGTGATTTTTTTATTTAATTACATATATATATTTTTCAAGACCTGGGAGCTCCTTGCTGCAGTTGAGAAAATAACTCCTAACTTTGACACAAAGCCATTCTGTGACTCCTCTCCTGCTGCTCTGATTGATAGCAACGTTGGAACAGCCGAGTTTTTTTCCCCCACACCTCCCTTTGGTTATAGGCATGTACTTAACACCCCAGAAGTTATACCACGGTATGAAAATGATCAATGCCGCCCAACCCTACCAGTAACCCATTGGTAAAATCTTGTCTGTGTTCCATCTTGACATCAGAGTTGCGTTAAAATGTCAAACCCTTAATTCTCTAGATTGTACCTTCTTAAGTTATCATATCTGCACATCTATAAGACAATCCACAGGAAGTTGTCCTATAGGCAACATATTGAGTCGTACTGGTGCAGAACCTTTGAAATGGGCTTTCACTTGTAGTCGTGGGTAAGGCTGCACGATATTAGGAAAACCTGCGATGTGCGATAACAGTGCTTAATATTGCGATGACTTGCAATAAATGAACAAATACATGTAGTGTTGATATAGAAAACCTAAATAAAAGCCTAATCATTTCCATTCCAGCCTGAATTTTTAAAAAAATGAAGAGATCCATCCAACTGACCAACATGATGGGCTTCATTCGACTGGTGAAATACTTCAAGCTTCCATCAGAATGACAAAATGCATAAATGCAAACTTTGAGTCAACCATTTATTGCAGTTCATGCAGTTGTTGTGATATTTGTTATGGCAATATTTATTTAACAACAGAGACAGAAATACGCTGGTCAAGAATGAAGGTACTCCGTGRGATGATCAGCTGAGTTTTATTGCAACAACAGGAACACAGAGAACGTGGCCTGTCTCTGTGCCTCTGCTTCTCTCTCTCCACACTGCTCACTGTCTAACTCTCTTGCACACTGTGTATCGAGAGGCCTCATATACAGCATTCTGTCATCTAACATCGTGTGAGAATGAACAACCAATCATAACCTGCCCCATCCTGATACACGGAAATAGGTCAACTTGATGCTGACGTCCGGAAGGATATCACAAGATATGAACAAGTGTTCATATCTTCAGGAACAGGAACAAGTGGTCAGTGTCAAGGTGATACAGATATAAGTATTCCACAACAATATTCATATTGCACAGGCTATTATCACAATGACACTACATTTTTGATATATTGTGCAGCCCTAGTTGTGGAATTTAGATCCGTTCAGGTTTTCGTTTTCTATTATGCAGCAAAAAGTCTTGATTTATTTTATTTGCTGAATTGCCTTTCTTTTTTCTTCATCGCTTGTTATATAAATTTTTTTTGTTTATTGAAATTCCTCTTATTGCAGGGATCCTCATCACTACAATTGCCTCCAAAGGAGAACTACAAAACTGGCCTGAGCTTCTGCCTAAACTCTGCCAGCTGCTGGATTCTGAAGACTACAACACATGTGAGGTGAGAAAACAAAATCAGAAGCACTCTGGTTAGAACAAACAATGTTCTGTGTGTGAATTAGAACTGAAACATTATCAAATGTTATTGATATAAAAGAAAGATAAATTCTTCAGTAGCATTTCTCCTGCCAGTGTGAGTTAAAACAAGATTAAATGCAACTATCTGTGGCCGTAGAGGAAGCATGTTTCTGACTCGAGGCGCAGTCTATATTAATTTACTGTGGAAAGAGAAGAGCTGGGTCATGTGTAAAGCAGCATCTGGATGATGTCCTGCTGGCCTGCTGTGCTTAAGGCCGTCTCACAGCTGGAGCAGTAGCTACAACAGATTATTCAACATGGACTCATCAGTCTCTTTCAGTCTGTACCACAAAACCATATGACCCCATTTTCTGACGTTTCACACATAATCGCCCAGAACGGCTTTTATGAGCTGTTCAGGGGAAAAAAAACCCCTTCTGTTTGTGTCCTGCATGCTCATTTTTAATCTATAATCTATTGTTGTCCAGTTGTTGGCACTTTGAATATCTTTATCTCCCTGATAATTCCGCATTTTATTATTTATCATCTCTGTCGTGTTGCTCTGAGGAGAAATCTCTAAACAGTCTCATATCTTGATGATGTCAGCACTTCTAGACAAACTACACTGATATTGTCGTTCACGTAAAAGCAGTGACAGCAGAAATCAGTGTTTCAAAGGTTAGATCAGTTAATTTGTGTAACAATGCTGCACAGTTAAGGATGACTGCCACAGCTGATCGATGTTAACAAACGTAAAAATTGCTGTGACGTAGTCAGATTTATAGATAATGATCTAAGGTTTGATATGACAGAAGCTGAGTCATCGACACACACTATGTGCTAAAACAACTAGCAAGAGCTTGCAGTACCGCATTTATTATCGCAAAAGTTTCTGGGTTGACTAAAACATCTGTAACTCTGTATCTTCTCATCAGGTCCAGAGGTTATTGAGATATTTTGCTAACAGAATGACATATATTAATTATAAAATTTCCTACCTTTTCATGGCAGTAACTAGGGCTGCCACAAACCATTATTTTTATAGTCAACGAATCACCGATTATTTTTTTCGATTAGTCAACTAATCGGATCATACATTAATTGAATATAAAACATTCAGTTTTTCGCACCAAAATGCAGCTGCTATTATATAACTATCGTTAGATTTTAGCTATATGCTAACTAAAAATAATTGCTGTGGAAGGAGAGATCTGCCTTGCAGATATTACACAGGTTTCTCTTTCATTTTCTTAAAATGATCCCACACTTTGAGCTCTGTTGTCAGGTAGCCATGATACCAGAGCCTGTCTGTATAATGTCTTGTGACGTCCACGGCCTACCCCAGTTACCACTACTGTGCATGTGTGTCAAGGACAGAAAGGCAGACGTGGCAGTGGAAGGTGTCAAAGACAAAAACAAAGTAAAGAACAAAAAAAACGATTAATAGATTAATAAATTAGTCATCAATTATTTTAATAATCGATTA